CTATTGGGGACATATCGGGACTTACTAGGTATTATACAGTATGATTGAACACATGTAACTGTTTCTTGGGTACATTTGTAAATGCAAAATATTCCCGAGGGATTCTTTGTACTTTCATACGCGTATTCTGATTGGTTTGTCGTATTTTTGTCAATGATTAAACTTCAAAATACTATTTTATCGTTTTCATTTTATAAGCAGACCAAATAATCATATACTTTCTTTTGATCAGTAGGTTATGTTTGACACCTGTATTGTAGCTTAGTGTTATGACTGAGAACACATTTACATCAGAATACGATGTGGTATACTCACAAACAAACAGTTATAGTAAACACACAAACAGCCATTTGCGGCTGGATTTCTTTATTGCTTTACATAACAATGCCATAAACATAACGTTCCACACATGGCGAGATTAAAGTTTGACATTTGTTATTTCTTCACGACAGACGATCGTTCGGCCTCACGTGTTCAGATTCCGAAATACGCAAATAGATCGCAGGCCAGATTTTACTGTCACTTCGGTGATTTTGCAAATCACTTTGCTTGAATTATGGGTTTGTGAGTGAGTATGGTTTTACGCCGCTTTTAGCAATATTCCACCAATATCACGGCGGGGGACACCACAAATGGGCTTCACACAGTGTACCCATGTCGGGAATCGAACCCGGGTCATCGGCATGACGAGCGAATGCTTTAACCACTAGGCTACCCGACCGCCCCGCTTGAATTATGAGTTTTGTTGGACATTCTTATCAGTCACGTTTTGGAAAGGACACATACAGCACATGTACTCAGCCCTGTACTTTAATTTACGGTTTTATCTCACAATAGCAATTTGTTCAGGTGGCTGTTTATGTGTCGCTAATACTCTTTTGACATTGGTTTAAATACACAGCTCTAAAATATTATTTACAGACTGGCGTCAAAATTGCCATCTTCCCGAGACGAGGGAGTTAACTGACTATAAAGGTCCTTTCACCTTTGCCGAACTAGACTGGGATCCCGGAGTTACATAGTGGCTGGATTAACGAGTTCATGCATAGTCTAATCAAAAATCGCGTAAAGAACTAGACATCCGGTTCGTAAACAACATGGATTTCAACGTGCAGACTTCGGTCGACTGCAGGATTTGCAAAGCATTTTTACCGTAAACTAGGCGTCGACAGATATATTGCAAATCATTTCCTGTTTTTAATCAAGTTGCTCAAGTGATTTAATGCACTTCGCGGGGTAAGACCATTTTTATTAGAATAGAGATCTTGGTAATCGATCAGATTGTTTTAAACTGCGTGCCGCCGTTTTGTTTAAAGCAAATACAAGTGATTTGAAAGATGGTGTCTGGTTGGTCAATAGGAGGGACATAGAAGGGACATAACTCGTAATAGCCACTGTTGGCGCTACGATCGAGCTCAGAAGTTCCAGACTGGTTCGGCAAGAGTTGAAACTGGACTTTTATAGTCAGTTAACACCCTTGCCTCGGGAAGATGTCATATAGCTGGAATATCAATGTGTGCAGCGTTAAATAACAAACAAACTCTAAACATAATACCCCCTAACGATGACACTGAGAACACCTGGTGATGACGCAGTGATTTTGTTCTGTGAGCACTCGTACTGCTGGAAGCGCATTGTCACAATTTAAATGATTGTATACATGGCCGTATACTTCGTGTGTAATAGTGTTGTCTCTGTTTTACCCACGGAACCACGTAGCAGTTTGGTTTCAATGTAGATACATCTATGGTTAATTATATTGTTGTCGGAAAAAGTACAATATAATTATATAATCTGTTAAGGATTTTCAAACTCACTAACACATCCTATTTAGGCCAGATATGTTAGCACGAACCACTCCATGAGCATACAATACAACCCCTTCTCTCTCTTCTCTCTCAAGCGACATACAAATGTCAACAAGTTTTTTGCAGAAAGAACTTACTAAAACGGTCAGTAGTCATGCTACGTTTATCAGCTTATTGTTTTTGTTTATATACATTTGATGTTATTCATTGTTTTTTATGTAATTATTTTTTCCACAAGTGTAAAAAATTAACCCGGTAAATGTAACTGGATCGATTTGTTGCATTAAGTATTGAATTTAGTTACACGAATCTTGACGTCTTTTATATATTCATAGCACGAACATGTTTCAATGACTCACTCGGATGGTACTGTGAAAAGTCATCACACTCACACACAAGCAGACATACAGCCATTGAGCTACAAGGTCAAGAGGCGACTAACGGGATTGGGTGGTCAAGCCTGCTGATTTGGTTGAAGCATGTCTTCCTCGCAATTGCATGGGTCGATGATCATTATGTCAATTACTGGATTATCTGGCCCAGACTCGAGTGCGGCGTTAAACAAAAAACATACAAGGTCAAGATGGGGAAAAAACATAAATAAGCCATAAATGGGGAGATTTGTGGTGGTCATATCATATACTTCACCGAACGACTGACCGGTCATGTATACAGTAAACTACGGTTATAACGAACAAAATGGGACTACTAGTTTTAGTTCGTAATAACCGTAGTTCGTTACAAGCATATGGCCGGGACTAAAAACTAAGCTCGTTATATCGGTCAGTTCGTTATAAGCTAGTTCGTCCTGGTCCTTGGAGATATACACTGAGGGCTTCGTGAAAAAACTCGACATTCTGTTAATCATGCGAATTCATGAACTATAAGGGTTCTGAATTCAACAACTGAAATGGCGTCCATCTTTCGAGAAGGCGAACAGTCATAACCCTTAAGGCTTGGTTTGATGAAATATGTTTTATTCTACTGTTTTCCACATGCCCCTTTTGGTCATTGATCACAATTATTCTGAAGTAGATTTTTGGAATGAGCAATGCCATACATACAACGTTGTTTCTGACATTCATTTTACATCAGAAAAACTGTTCATAAAATTGGCCAGGCCCTTGAAAAATATAGATTCAGCATCTCAAAGGTAGATTGGTCACTGTTTCATCGGATTTAAAGATGGCCAAATATACAAGAGGGTCGCCAATCCACTACCGATTGGACACAAGGATGGTTAAACTCAGCAGCTTGTTGCTCAGTCGAGGATGAACGATTGTACAGCTCTCTTGGGTGACAGCATCCGTACATTAGCAGGTCACCCTGTTAGTCGCCTCGCTTGATCTAGGAATAACATCAATAATAAAATGACACCCGTTACATTCAGATTCTACAGATCCTTAAGATCTATTTATTTAATTGTAATCTAAAAATAATCCTAGGCGCATCAAATGTATTGCTTCTACCATAAGAAACATGCTTTATAGACAACAATTATTGATATGATACTTGCATTTATTGTTCTATATATATTTGTTGTAACGATCATATCATTGTGAATAGTATTTTACCGTACATGATGTAATAAATACGTAGTGTCTCGTAAGCCAAATTAAAATATGGCTGGATGTCAAACATCTATTATTGTTCTATGAACTGTTTAAGCTATGTGTGTTTAACTTGTGACACTTTAATAAACTATATCTGTCTGCATGCCTGTCTGTCTGTCTGTATGCCTGTCTGTCTGTCATTCAAATAAATAGTTCAAGAATGAATAAGCGTGTAATGTGAAAATTTAAAAAGAGTAATTACGTATATGTCTGACTAGAGGATATTCACACCAAAACCAGCAATGAGTTCAGACAATAAAACAACGTTGTTTGTATATCTGATGCAATTCCCTATATTGACTCTTTGATTCAGGTGAATAATTCGGGGTGTGTGATCGCTTATACTAGTCCGGCCTTTATCATCCCCTAATGCCGAATGCAAGGCATGGTAATAACAAGTGCCATCTCTTAGCGTCTTTTGGTATGATGCTTCAGGAATCGAACCCATGTCCTTCCGCTCTCCGGACAGACGCTCTGTCAACTAGACCACGGGGGTGGTCACTATGTGATAGTGATTGATAAACACATGCTTATGTTATAGTCGGAATTGTACAATGGACTGTTTTAGCAGATATGTCTTATCATTATGGAAAGGGCTTTGTTGCTCCTATTTTTATTTGAACATCTAAGAAGAGCCTTAATCAATTTCTAAAACTATATCTGCAACCTTTATGTCAGAAGACATTGGAATATAATCCACCCAAACGATGTAATTAATGCGAACAAATACCACCCGCATTTGTTGCATTTAATTCACGCTCGCTTTAATTTCAACATTTACAGTGACTGCTCAAGGATGAAGGGACGCAAGCATACTGAGCAACAAAACTTCCAAAATCCCTTTTGAACACTTACACATCACAAGTATACCCGGAGATAAGGCTTTACGTAGACTTGTTCAGCAGTAAGTGAGTTGGGTTTGCTTGTTATCACATGGCGTGATCAGTTTGAGTTCGAAGGATAGTCTCCCGCGAAGCTGGTCCTGACTATTACTGCTTTGATGGACACGACGAATACGAGAAAATATTGCACACAACATCCATGTCTTAATATTCGTATCAGTGTACTGACCCACTGATGCTACATGAGTCTGATAAGGAAGGGTATATAACATAGGTCACGACTTACCTATGGCGGTACAACTGTTATACACAGATTGACTCCTTATGCCAGCCAAATGACAGCAGCTGGTTCAAGCATCTGCAACAGAAACCACGCGAAAACAAATCCGGTACACAGAAAACCTCATTGCGATCATAGAACACTTGGCACCAAACCGTTACTTCACTTATAATTCTAACTAATAACTCGATATATTTGGTAGACATTGGTTTTAAGGTATTAACAAAACATTACATGGACAGTGAGTGAGTGAGTGAGTTGGGTTTAACGCCGCTTTTAACAGTATTCTAGTTATATCACGGCGTGTCAGCTTATTGTGGGAGGAAAGCCCGTAGTGATGCAGGTCTCAGACGTTTACCACTTTGGTGAAACCCACGAGCACGGGTATGGTGCTGACAAACCTAGAAACATAATCGGGGCGAACCGGGATTCGAACCCACAATCATAGGTTTCTGGCGTACTCAAGGGACGCAACTCTGCACAGCGAATCGCGGCGCCTTAGACGACTGGGCCACCCGTGCCCCCTTACAGGGACAGGGACCAGACTGGATCATATTCAACGTTAAGTTTCTGCGAGCGAGCGAGTAATTTCATATGATCAATATTAATGCGAAACAATACATCAGTGATTATGGACCCTGGGACTATATCGTGATTCAATTCGTTTCAGCTACAGCGACAAAACCAGAAATTATTTTTAATTAAGACTGTCAGCCTAAATTTCATCTTAAGAAAGACACTGCAATGTATTTTTGTGGTAGGCAATTTCATTTTTTCTTTTCCAACGGTCTGAAGCAAATATGTTTTCTTTTAATTATTTTTTTCGATATAATCCCTGTACTCCCTCGCCGACCCACCCACCCCTATCCCCCACCCGAGAATATCAAATGGTCGGTCCCCACATGTCTGATGCGGACCATCCCACTATCTGAATAGAAGCTATCACATGGTAACGTTGTATCCTGACCAGCAAAATTAAACAAATTTATGATAGATTCTAAAGCATGCATGTCTAAGTTATCCACATTGTGATCATCACCTGAAAAATATAAAAGGTAAATATAAGTATACAACATATATTATATCACAGTTACCTGTTAATAGAGTAACACATATTCAATCAAATACATTTCAGTGTTATTGGCAATTGAAAGCAAAATGCTTACATCTAGATAATATATTCAAAGAAAAGTGACATGAATTAATGATTATGAATATGAATGATGTTGATGAAAGTAAAAAAATGTACAAGAGAAATATGTAAAACAAGCATATGCAAAACAATAACTCCACAAATCAGGTGTTATGCGTTATGACCTGAAAATTTCAAGAGTTAAGAAGCATTGAAATTCATAGCATAATTTGTGTTTGTTGTTTAAGGCCGCACTCAGCAATATTCCAGCTATATGACGGCGGTCTGTAAATAATCGAGTCTGGAACAGACAATCCAGTGATTGACATCATGAGCATTGATCCACGCATTTGGGATACGATGACATGCATCAACCAAGTCCGCGAGCCTGACCACCCGATCCCGTTAGTCGCCTCTTACGACAAGCATAGTCGCTTTTTCTATATGCATAATAAAAATATCAGCCGTTAAAAAGATATTGTTATTGGTGAGTTTGGTGTCCATCTAATTGTCTCTTTTATCAACATTTCTTTCAGTATTTATATTTTTTATTTTTCACATTTTTTTTACAGGCATAACATGTATGCAAAGTTTACTGAACCCCTGTTTTCTTTGATGAAATAATAATTAAGGGTACAATCAATTTAATCCTTCACGCAGAGATAAAATGATATTTTTCTTGTAACTGCAACTAGTTTTAACTTGTTTGTTTGTCTGGTCAAAACGCTTAACATGGTGCTTTATAACACATCATTTCGCAATGTTGGCCAGAATGTCCCCTGGAGCACGGTACCTTAACGTCATTCACCAGCTTAATGCATACACCAGCTCCAGAGTGAGTGAGTGAGCGAGTATGGTTTTACGCCGCTTTTATAAATGTTCCAGCAACATCACGGCGGGGGGCACCAGAAATGGGCTTCACACATTGTGTCCATGTCGGAATTCGAAACTGGGTCTTCGGCGTGACGAGCGAACGCTTTAACCACTTGGCTACCTTACTCATGGAAAATATGCGGAGTTCGCTTTCGAAATGTCACGCTTGCATCCCAAGTACCAAGGTGTCCGACTCGTTGTTTGGTAATGCAGAATACTGCAGTGTTGTGGAGTCTTCACATTCCCCGAAAAGTTATCGGTGGATTCGACGAGGAAGCGCTTCCTGGGAGAAGTCCCATTCACTGTCTGGGTTACGTGTAGAGGGGGCAAGGGCCCTGAGCTGACGATGAGCCTTACCAGCCTGACTGTGCCAGGATTACCCAAATCCTCTTTGCTGCATTTATAATAATAATAATAATAATAATAATAATAATAATAATAATAATTTTCAAGGAGAGGCTTTCTGTATTGGAAAAATCTGCAACCCTGCAGAGTCCTTCGCTTCGATGAAGTCGTCTTGTCCTTTTTGATAATTCAAATGAAATCATTTATATCATTGAATTTTCTGTCCCCTTTGACACTGATGTGATTGACAAGATTGAGGAAAAAACATGGCAAATATGCGGACCTCGCTTTCGAAATGTCACGCTTGCATCCCAAGTACCAAGTTGTCCGACTCCCTATTGTTCTCGGTGCCTTAGGTTTGGTACCTCCCAATCTGTTGACTGACATTGGGAGAGTATCCGGGTTTGCTACCAGGAATACAGCCCTTCTGACAATCTGGTTAATGCAGAAGGCTGCAGTGTTGAGTAGTCTTCACATTCGCCGAAAAGTTCTGGGTGGGTTTGACTAGGAAGAGCTACCTGGGAGAAGTCCCATTCGCTGTCTGGGCTGCTTGTAGGGGGGACAAGGACCCTTAGCTGATGATGAACCTAACCATCCTGACTGTGCCAGGATCACCCACACCCTCTTTTCTGTATTTTATTTTAATTTATTTTAATCTGTAAATAATAATAATAATAATAATGCACATTCATGCATGGTTGCTAAAGGACCGTCCTAAATGAATTTTCAATCAAACACGTTTTTTCATAGAAATTTATAGAATTAATGTGATGACGTATGATTTACTGTATGTATTGTTGCAAAGTACTCGATATAAACTTTCGAATGGTAATACTTACTTATTTCACAGTTCGTTCCACTGAATCCTGTAACGCAAGGACAGTAGTAGAAATTTAAGTAGAGGTTGCTGGTGACACAGGTTGCGCCGTTTTGACATGGATTGCTCAGGCATTCGTCCACATCTGATGAATAATAATACGTCAATTAAAACACAAGGGATAGTGTAGATCTTGACGATACAGTTATTATGGCTATTCACCTTAATATATATACCTTGGATAAGCACTCAATGAAAACGTCATCTTGGAAACTTGTATTAACGAAATATAAGGATTTTTTATTGTTTGAGAGCAAAAAGATTTAAAAACATATATTTATATCTTACCATCTTAATGACGGAATAATGGTGATATCTGAAATTCCATTGCTAAGTGGAAATTAAATGTTACAAGTTAATGACAAATACCTAAATCACAAAGGCGACCAGTATATCCGACTATACATATACATTCGAAGGTAGAGCCGTTGCTTTTGCATGAGCCGTACGAGCATGGAGCTGATTTGCAGGGATCTACAAAAAGGTAAGTTAATTAAACCTCCCATAGATCATATCTGAATGTTAACATTCGATGCAGCTCAAATGACAAAGCGTTTTATACCCTTCTTTTTTGTTAAACAATTGAACATGATGAAAAATTGCTTCACATAACTAGTGTCAATTATTTTTGAACATATAATATAAACGCCATTCTCCTTTATTGTTTTCACAACCCTGTTAGGGGCACGGGTGGCCCAGTCGTCTAAGGCGCAGCAATTCGTTTTGCAAGAGTTACGTCCTACCGCACGGTGGGTTTCACCGAAGTGGTAAACGTCTGAGACCTGCATCCCTTCGGGCTTTCCTCCCACATTAAGCTGACATGCCGTGATATAACTGGAATACTGCTAAAAGCGGTGTTAAACCCAACTCATTCAATCACTCACTCATAACCCTGTCGTCAAACTGCCGCTGATGCAAATAAGATATGTTTTAAAAACATTAAATGAAAACTATGTTTTGTAAACCCCTTCTTTAACACATGTATCAGTATATTTAACTGACCTTCAACTTCCATAGTGATCCCAAGGCATTTCTCCTCCGACCCTGTCCTGTAAAGGTATGCACATTCTGTTTACGTATAATGTAATCAATTGAAATCTTTTATTCTCGAATATACACCATAAACGTGAAGTACATTGGTAGATACCAATCACCTACGATTGAAATATACTGTTGCCAAAAAACTATTTAAAACATGTATATCTCTCCTCACCCTTGGTCGTCATACGCCAGGAAACATATTCTTTGTCCGCCGTCCTGATCAGATGTTATTCTTACATCAGTCTCAAACATTTCTTGTGCATCCTTGTTCACTTTGACTGGCACCGAAATTTGGGTATTCTTGAAAGTCGAAGTTGTGTAGTTCATAGAAGCTATTCGTCCTCTGCAAAGTTTAATGCGATGAATTAAAATTAGTACATATTTATGACTATATTTGATACTTGAGTAAATGTTTTGTTAGTAACACACAACTGACAGAGAAATCCTTCTGAATGCTGTGAAAATTATGTGCATATAATACCACGAGGGTAACCCGTGAAGATCCGGATAGAATTGGTCTTCAGCAACCCATGCTTGCTGTAAAAAGGCGACTATGCTTGTCGTAAGAGGCGGCTAACGGGATTGGTTGGTAAATTAATTCGACCTTGGCATTCGATTGCGCCAATATGGGAGGCACACAATTGTGTGAGCTAATCGAATGACATTTTGCTGGACTTATAACTGACATTGCAATGATTGACAGTGCAATGATTAATTTATTGGTATTTGCAAGGTATGTCAGAGTATCAGAACACTGCCAAATCGTCGCACTTCGCCGTTGTGTTGGCGTCACCCTCTATCTGCAGGTATTTCCTCATCTAAACCGTTGTTTTCTTCTAAAAAGATGCACGGGACATATAGACCTATATAAAGTATGTTCACTCGTAAGGCACTCACTCAATCACGCGATACAGTCAGACGCCATGTTTGTTTACGTTAGTATGCAAAATAACTATGACGTCATATGGCAACGTGACTGATAATGGCCCGTTGTTGGGCAAAATGAGCGCATTATCAAGTTACAATGACCCGCACTTTGTCTGATAACTCGACGGTCGTTTTATGATAATTCTATCCATTTTAGCTAATACGGTAAACTACGGGTATAACGAACTCAATTTTAGTTCGTAATAAGCGTAGTTCGTTATAAACACATATACAGCATACATACAACAAATGGCCGAGACTAAAACAAATTAGTTCCTTATATCGGTCACTTCGTTATAAACGTAGTTTACTTTACATATTAAAGAAACAGTAACATAGTATCTCGGGATGCTTATCCTTGTGAATTTAGTCGTATGCCAGACTTCCATTGCATTATTGGGTCCGTAGTTATCATTATCAATTTCTTGTTAGTAAATTACTTATTGTGGAGTCCAACGTAATTTCACCGCTTCCGTGGTCTAGTGGGAGAGCGTCCCCCGGAGAGCAGAAGGTCCGGGGTTCGATCCCCGGCCGCGTCATACCAAAAGACGTTAAAAGATGGTACTTGTTGTTACCCTGTCTGGCGCTCGGCATTATGGGGCTTAAACAAGGACTGGTCGGCTCGGAGTCACTTTACTGTGTCTGAGTGGGGTATTCATGTTAAACTGCGGCATGGTATCTCAGTGAGCTAGCACTATAAATCGGCATCAGTCCGGACTAGTACAAGCAGCCACACAAACACACACACGTACATGCACGTCGCTATAATCTTGGACGCGACGTTAAACCCCATTTCACCACCTCACCAACGTAATTTCTGGTATGTATTGTTTAGGGACCTCGCAAATTAATATTTAACTTGAAATATATGACGTGTTCAGTGAATATAGTATTACGTTCAACGTTATATAGAAATGTGTTACTAAACAAATGTAGAAGCGAGCCACCGCTTGTTACCTTCACAAATACAACCTGCTTACCCTGGGCGGTTAGTTGTGGAGTAAATAGGGAAGGAACATGTTGAATTCTGTAGGCACCGTATTACAATATCAGTGGGGAATAATGTGAAGAAGGGTCGAGTCTGAAAAGAAAGAAAAAACGTTTCTACCATCACAGGACACGTGTCTACAACACGACGTTCCTAAGGATCACAGCTACATGAATTCTACCACACATTCAGGAAGAGACGCCTCGGAGGACAGAAGCTAATCTGAAATGTAGTAGGTCTCTGCATAGCAGCAAATTTGCGTCTTCGTCCAGTGTTAGTGAATGAATATGGTTTTACGCCGCTTTTAGCAATATTAAATCGGCTTCACACACTGTACCCATGTCGGAATCGAACCCGAGTCTTCGGCGTGACGAACGAACGCTTAACCACTAGGCTACCCGACCGCCCCCAATGTTAGTCATTGGTATTGTGAATAAACATAGTTCAGATTACAGATTTCAGAGTATAATGAATCATCATTTGTTTTGATGGAGCTGCAGGTGGCCGGAATTTGTTATGCAGGGTTGCGTCCCTTGGAAACGCCATGAACCTAAAATCACCCCCGACCTCATCCTGAATATTGTCCGGCACTTAGGCACAGAGTATGAACTAATCAAATGTTATAGCGCTCTTTACTTACCGACGAAACAGCATCAGGTGTTGCGAAGTGTATGTCTATACGAAATGGAGAAATATTACATGTGAATATTAACGTGTGCACTGATATTCGACAGATAATATTTGATATATATATTTATTATTGAGATTATATTGGCCATCTCACTCATTCACTGTTTCGGGTTTGGAAACCTATCTATAGCTACAGACTATATTTTACCTTTGACAATGATCTTGTAATTCCTATCAAGTCCATCATTTCTGAAAATATACCAATAATGCGATTGCTGAATATATACATGTCTTTTTTATTAGAAAACATATATAGATTGCATCTGTACTTGACATCGTCAGTTATATGTACACTGTCTTTCGATGCAATTCCCCCTTTTGACTTGAACCATATGTTCCCATGTTTTTTCAGGTGAACAACTGACTTGCTTTGCATGTGTTTGTGACGGGTGCCATCAATGTGGCAGGATACGCTCACCTTGACGCGAACACCTTGTATCATAGCTATGTGATAGTGATTCATAAACACATGCTCATGATATAGTCAGAATTGTACAATCGACTCTGCTTTATGCAGAGATTTCTTTTGGATATGGAAAGGGTTTTGTCGCTATATTTCAGTCAATGGTTGATGTGCAATCAATGTCAAATCGAAGGTGCATCAGAAGAAGATGGCAGACTTGAAATGTGATGTTCGGCTTAAAACCTAATTTTGAAACTATTTGTTTTCGCTACCATAAATTGACCCAAGAGTCAACTAACTTTCCTTTGTTTTTTTATTGACGTGTAATCCGCAACATTCTAGCCATATGACTTCGGCCAAAAATAGTTTAGTCTTGATCACTTTTTTGTTTTTCAATTTGACAATCCACCATCCTTATCAACTGTTCATTTCCAAAATGATTATCGAAACAGTTTGTGTCTCATCGAACAGCACATCTATAAGTTATGAAACGTTTCCGAGTAAAGTGATGAATCGTTGCTAAAACACTGCTCATTGTATGAATCAATATGTTACGATTACCAAAGGCTACCATTTGTAAACTCAAGTTCAAATGTTTAGTATTACATATATACACACTGAAAACTGCAGGTTTATCGCCTACTCGCATAATGCTTACCCCAAGTTATCCGTTACCAATGCGCCTAAGAGGTAGGTTCCTACATCTGCTTTCAATGGCCGCCATTTCACTATTGCGTACTTGACACCATCACTTTGGCGACTGGTGTCATATTTCAGTGGTGGGACCGAAAATAATCTCCATGGAATTGATCTCACATGGAGGTAAGAAATCTCACTGGAATATGAAACAGATCTTTTTGTTAAGAAGCGAATGTATGGTGACGTTAAATAATCTGATGACAGGCGGAGATCCGGAAACTTTGTTCCCAAAAGAACACGGAATCACATAACGTACCTTTTGGAAGTATCATATGGCTTAGCATAGAGAGGTATTTCCAGTGTTGAACCAGCATAAACGTAGAACACATGTTGACTACTCTTTGTGGGGTCCACAAATTCGGGCGCTTCTATGACTTTCAGGGTCTGTATCATGAACTGAAATCATGAATCAGAACAAAATGTTAAGATGTCGTCAACGGTCAACTGCCTGAAAAGTTAAACTAACGATTATTTGCTTACCTGAACCGTTATATCACTGAGAGACTGGGATCCAACTGGTATAACTGGACGACTGTCCCCCTTGAGGCTTATAGGTTTGGCGTTAAAGTCACTGATCCATACAGGAAGCACACCCCATCCTTGATCAAAGAAGTGATCCGATTCATAGGCCGTTATTTCTATGCTGCAGTCCTGAAGAAAAAGAAAATATACATATTTCGTATTAATTGTATTTTGAAGTTCAATTAGTTATTGCACAACAAAACAAACGACAAAGTCATGTAACATCGAGTTGGACTGCTAACAAAAAGAAAACGAGAAAATGTACACATATAATTTGAAATGATAGTATTAATAGTACAACAAGCAAAAAGACAATTTCATGGCACTTGGGATGAATAAACAGAAAGCAATGACACAGATCTGGGGTCATGACTGTCCCTTTTCAGACAAAAAAGACGAGGAAAGTCTGGAAAAGTTTCTGGACGCTCCATAACCCCTTGGTAATGGCATCAATATCCTATGTGACCTCCTCGAGCGTCCAGACAGCCTGGACATGACGCTTCATGATGACGTCATTATTGCGTTCCCATGCTGAAGACCGCCTCCCTGGTCTATTGGTAGAGCGTCCGCCCGGAGAGCGGAAGGTCCGGGGTTCGATCCCCGGCCGCGTCATACAAAAAGATGTTAAAAGATGGTATTTGTTGTTACCCTGTCTGGCGCTCGGCATGAAGGGTCTAAAACAAGGACTGGTCGGCTCGGAGTACACAGTGTCCGAGTGGGGTATTCAGGTTAAACTGCGGCTGTTGAAGGCACCGTCTGGAAGCGGTTGCGTATATGTAAGGTGCGCAGATAACGGCACTTCTGTGGGATGGTAACACGTGATCTACCTCTTCGTGGTCCCTCGTGTGCATGGCCTAGTGATATCGATGAAGAAGCCTTGCAATAGCCAGAATACTGCACCTATATAGAGGATATTTCATGTGTCGAGTGAAATATCATGTTTCTCTCATCGAGTTACGGGGGGAAGGAGATATTTTCACGAGTGGCGTAGCCGTCACGAGTTTAGAGAAACGAAGTGCGTCAACTGATGCGGGGTCCTAACGCAGTTTCTTGCCGTATCCGTTGATGTGCAAATGCAAAGTGCACATGTACAAGTCATCCTGCGGCGTCATCTGACTGACCAGGCCTGTCCTGTGTACTACCAATCAATCTGTGACGTTCAAACAGACTGACGATGGTGGCACGTGTACAGTATTTGATTGACAGCTTCTTACGATCTGGGTGTGCTCGGAAACATTTGCCTCATTCCTACATCTGTGTTATAAATGCCCAGAGACTGTTGGCTTGACGAATGTTTTAAAGGTTTTGGTTCATTCAGCTACAATGAACTTCAGCATGCAACTTCATCATGAGGTTCCAATTTCTGGTGGTCCGTGCCGTGATATTGCTGAAATACTGCTAAAAACGTCGTAAAGCCATACTCAGTCATTCATCATGACGTCCGTTATCTTTGTGCATTTACTTCATGGATTAACTGATAATACTAACAACATGACGGATGATAATGCTAACACAGTAGTCTGGCGTCATCCATTATATAATTGTTCATATGGACATGAACGTGCACCTTCTCCTTGGAATATATGTTAATGAACAAAAACTCTCTGAAGTTTCATTGTTACCTTATGTATGGTCGTGTTACGTGGTGTAGGTAGACCACCAGCTATCATGAACACTGCTGGCTGACATCGAACAAAATCCCCATCCTCGTCCATGGTGGAGAGTTTGATGACTGTTACGCTGTTCAAGAGAATTCTGGAAGACATAAATTTATAATCAGTCATGTATGCGTTTCAAAACTTGAAATCAATACATGCTTAATGATATGCCTTCAATAAACATCCCTACATTTGGAATACTTTAATGATATGCCTTCAATAAACATCCCTACATTTGGAATACTTTTATGATATACTTTCAATAAACATCCCTACATTTGGAATACTTTAATGATATACTTTCAATAAACATCACTACATTTAGAATACCCGAATGATATACTTTCAATAAACATCACTACATTTAGAATACCTCCGATTATTATGTACATATTTGTTTCTGGTGATAGGAGTTAACGATGTGTGAGTACTTGAGGAAAACGTAGGTAAACATCAATACCTGTAAACCATTATAGAACGATCATTTGAAATATCAACCATGACGATCATTCATCGTAAAATCGAATGAAGTATTTCATGATAATTGGAAAAGGCATATTGTAGGCAGCATGGCTTGTATACTCCCCAAGGAGCTGAGAATGAAATTCGAGTGCACACTGATCCATTGACCGGAGTAATTCATCACGGGAAGAGCTCCACACAAATGGACTATTATTAATAGTATTATCACTTCATCTTAATGGGGCCACACTATATCATTATCAACCTACTTGTATGTAGGCTTAAACATCGCAACAGGGCTGTTGTTTGGTTTCCCTGTGTCACTGCGTTCATGTGTATTTATCTTGACTTGGAGGATGACTCTTGAGTAGCCATTGTAACCATAGTCAAAGTCTTTCCAGAAGTTACCATGCATCCTGTTGATGTAAGTTGCAATGAGCTATTCATTTTCGATTCTTTGACCACACAAACCATGATATAACATACAGATCAATAATTTTAATAACAAAAACACCTGGTGAATAAGAATCATCATATTTTGAAATATCATTTTGTGATACATTACATGTACGTACATGCAAAGCGTCAAAGCTCGAGTATAACCAGTCTCGATTTTCCGACTACACAGATTCCATTGGGCGTAAGAGGCAAAAATGAGGTGATGCTTATATGAATAGATAATTGAAAATCAGTGTTGACACCAGGGGTTCGCTGAAAGGTTAAGCATGTCTGTCTATTGGTAAATACATCGAATCAGCACTTGTATTCCCTTATCCCATGCCCTTCACATGATACCACTGTCAAAAGGTCCAAGACACTTTGATTATTGTATCATTAATGCAAAATCATCACAACAGGCCGGCCTACAAGTGCGTCTCCCAATGTCGGTCACCGAACCCAAGTCACCAGACCACGCTACTGGATTAGAATAGGTCTTCAGCAACCCATGTTTGCCGTGAAAGGCGACTATGCTTGTCGTATACGTAAGAGGCGACTAACAGGATCGTGCATTATGTAGTGTTTGTTTGGCTGTTGTTTAACGCCGCAATATCCCAGCCATAATACGGTGGTCTGTAAGTAATCTAATCTGGACCAGACAATTCAGTGACTGACATTGCAGCAGGGCGTTGTGTCATACCACAGATAACATCCTTACCATGTCAACTTGCAACATTTTGAGCATCTACGCAATTGGAAAAGAACGACATCCATGAACCAAGTCTGTGAGCCTGACCACCTGATTTCGTTAGTCGCCTCTTACGACAAGCGTGGGTTGCTGACAGAATATTCACGGAACGGTCATATAATGATCCAGAAAGACCTGTGGTCAAACAACAGATCGAACATTACCGCAAGCCACTTTATAGTGCCTCCGTACATTCATCTTTTGAACTACAAGAAAAAATGATCTAATATGTAATAATTTAACATTAAAGAACAAGCTGGTTACACTTACACAATATCTGTATAGCTTGATAATGGATCGACTTCAAGAATGACCTCGGCTGTTTCCTGTTCCCACCCGATGGGACCATTTACGGCTGCTACTTCGCCAGTGAGATTCTTGGATACTTTGTCAGTGATCATACTGTAGATGTAGTTTCTTTGCGGGGATCTGACCTCCGAACTCCAGTTTCCAAAATATGTAGGGCCATTCATGTGCAACATATGGTTTCGAGTCGTAACTGTGCTCCTTCCGACGTCATTGATCGAGCAGTGTTCGCCACAGGGTCCTTCACCTAACACCCATCCGGTAACAGTCGTTAATTGTACCTGAAAAAACCCTGAGTTTCAGTTTGTTATTGTTGTCAGAGGGGTATGTTTAGAATCCTGGTGGTTGGATTTTATTGTTCAGTTTAACTGAAAGGTCGATCATTGTACATGGCCAACAGTTAAGATAACCATTGACATAGAAAGTCACTCATTTCTTTTAATAATTATGATTATCGATACTTCTTTTGTGAAAGTACAAATAAAACACATTCACATATCAGTCTGGTATAGTTCCCTTTAAGTAATTATACGAAAACATGCAAATTATATGTTTTCATTAATTTCCCACAATATTCAGATCCGTTACAGTATAATTGCATACCTCACTTCGTAAAATGTCGACTAAATATTTCAGCAGTTCTTTTAATGTGAAAACAACTTAGTTACTCTCTCTTAGTGTCAGCGGTTTGATTGAATATCGTCGTCAGATTGAATTGCAATCTGTCGTTAGTTTGCGCAGCAGTTGGGGAAAGTGTAGTGATAATAAAACTATCATGACTATCAGACTAGCATGCATCCTTTTGTGCAATTATTTGAATGCGGCATTGAGCAGTACATGTATATCTTTTCTATAACAATTTAAACACGATTACAAAGCCAAACCTAAGACTCGGCTTTTCATACCTTAAACGCTTTAGGGTTGGATGTTGAAGCTCATTGATCCTCCCATGAAGTGTTTAGACTGAGCATCCACACCCAACAGAGGCATCAGAATCAGTAGGAGAGACACCGAACACGCCGCCATGACTCCTCTCAAGATAGTTGGTGAACACTGCGTGTGGACGACATTATATCACATTTCAAACTTTATATGTACCAGAGCATCTGAAATTCCCCCTTGGGGATTTGAAGTTAGAATTGGTCTCCTGCGACCTTTGCTTGTGAGAAGCTATTTAAGGCCAAGAAGAAGTACTATCTTTCTGGTCATTGGGTTTAGCCTAAAAAGACACAACACGCTTTTTTTTTTGGCTTTTTTTGTTGTTTTTTTGTTGATAATGTAACATTGCCCATCTTTGTATTTTGGGGGAAAACGTTACATGTATTTTTCGCAGTTTAGAAAAGAGTCCAGGGGAGTGACGTATGCCTTGGTTACAAATAAAAAAAAGCGCGACGCTGGGGTTGAAAATGACAAGACCAGTAGCATAATTCTTTTATGGATCGGGTAGTCAGGCTTGGTGACTTGCTGTGTCATATTACTCCGATCGCTGCTCATAATATCCATCACTGTCAGTTTTAGACATAGAAAGTTTAGTGATGTTACGTGGGTAATATAACCAGATTCATATTTACAAACAAATCAAATAATGTTGTACATGTAAGATGTTATATGCATAATATTTCGATGCTTGAATATATTTCCTCTGTTTTATTTTAGCATGTTAGCATCGTGTATCGCGAAGTAAGAATATATTAATCTTGTTTTACTGTGTAACTGAAGTTCAACATTTTTAAAGGATAAAACAGGCATAAAAGTAAGTGTATACACTGCATAATATCGAAACAAAGTATTATTAAATATTTTTTGCCTGATGTAGTTACCTTGTTCCTGATCATACGCTTGTCCACAATGAAGTGTGAAGACGTCCCTCTCGCCGACGGTAAATGTATGGCCCAGTTGATCATGAACAATATAAAGTCATAGATAACACTGCATGACAACACAGGAATAAATGTAATATGATTACTGTGCCTTATCTCTAAAGGTGGCAACAATACTCTTTCAAAAAAAGAAACGCATAACGAAAATGGCAATTTGATGCAGCAATGTATTGGTACAGGGTGGGTTTTTCAAAAATATTTGTTTTGTTTATGATTTCTCTGGTGTTTTTGTCTTCATATACAAACGCATCCCGCATGAAAAACCCGTATGTTAAAGCATGATTTTCAATAGACGCATTTAATGTCACAGAACACGTATTGCACGTGCAATGCGCGGGAAACTCGGGGATCACATCGTGTCGTGGATGGGTATAAAAGATCGATCTCCGTCTTAATTTCATTTACTTTATTGGGAAGTTTGTGAAGACTGCAAAATGCCAAGACTGAGCCGCGCCAATCATCACATCGCCATAGGTCTCCTTGAAGCAGGACAATCTCAACTTACAGTTGCCCGTCGAATGAATGTTCATCAAAGCACGATTTCTTGTCTCTGGGAGAGATATCGGCAGCAGAACTCGGACCTAGAAGTGGACGTCCTCGAGTTCACATCCGGGTACATCACCTGCGTCAGCGAACAGCTACATCGACCACTACCACTAGGCAAATACCCGGATTGAGAAGGATATCTGCACAGACTGTCAGGAACAGACTACGAGAGGCAGGTTTAAGATCAAGAAGACCCTACTTTGGCCCCGCTATGCGTCAGCAGCATCGAGGTCATCGCGTTCAATGGTGTACAAACGTTCAGGCCTGGAATTTGGTGAATTGGCGTCGAATCTGGTTCAGCGATTAATCAAGATTTCTGTTGGAACGACGCGATGGAAGAATGCGGCTGTACAGACGACGTCATGAACGTATTGCCGACGCCTGTGTCCCCCAGGTGGACAGATTCGGCAGGGGCAGCGTGATAGCCATATCCTACACTGGAAGAAGTGAGTTGGTGTTGATCCAGCGCAACGCTACTGCGATCAAGTCCTTCGTCCACACCTCCTTCCCATTATCAACCGCCAGAGGGAGCTATTCCAGCAGGATAACGCCAGACCTCATACGGCACGTGTCACGAGGGCCTTCCTCCAGAATGAGAACATCAATGTGATGCTCTGGCCCTCCAGATCACCAGACTTAAACCCGATAGAACATCTTTGGGATGCCCTGGACAGACGACAGCGTTACCCACAGCCCCAGACACTCCAACAACTAGCACATGCACTACATGCAGAGTGGGCTACATTGCAGTAACATCAGATTCAGAGACTAATTCGTTCTATGCAGAGACGATGTCGCGCAGTTCTGAACGCCAATGGTGGTCATACGAGGTACTGACTTCAGCGCCAATAAACGTCGATGTGTGATTCATAAACTGACTTTTTCCGATGTCTTATTAAACAGTGATACCTTGACATTTTCTGTGTAAAATTTCTTCGAATTCCATTTGCTATTAACTTGTCCACAGTGTATCAAAATAAAAAGAAATCTGTTGTTAATATTCTTATATGCGTTTCTATTTTGAGAGAGTATATAAACGCACATTGTCTAGTTGTTTAAATTTATTCCACTCACAAGGCATCCTTCATGTTTGTTTCAGATTAATAATTTCACTTTATAATCAGTGACGGTCTTGCTTCCAACATGGTGACAATACTTGGTACACTAGAAATGTAAATACAGATCCGACTGAACTAAATGAAGACGAAGTCATCACAGTGACAGAAAAGTAAAGACTTTGATATTATAAATTGCACCCGAGGAACAACGATATATCAGGTGTTTGCATCCATAATCGCCTCTTCACTAAGTACAAAGTTGCTGGATTATATAGTGGATTAATACTTTCACACCATGGAAAGCGTTATTGTAAATTACAGGAGGGACTACTGTGAACATGAGTGCAGCTTGGCTACGTGTTAACATAATCTAAGTGGTAAGATTATAAACGCCTTCGATGGTACAGTCAGACAGTTAAATGACATTGAATACTAAGTATGCGTAAATATCCCTTATATATTAGAATATTTATAGTGTGAGAGGTGCCAGAGTAAAATCCCAAATTATCGGCGATAATCACCATAATCGATCGCTACAATGATCATTTGTTACATGTTATAAAATAGACGCAACGCTTATACAGCCACAGAGGGTTTCAATGCAGCGCCAGACCTATGTCATCAATGTTCTTGTTCTCGTGCACTGTGGCACGTCTATCGTTTTCAGGTTTGTGACGTGAAGAAATATGTGTATTTGTCAGTTTTGTCATTACCTTCTTTCTCTGTTCAAATAATAAAATCATAACAACTCGTAAAATTCATTTTTCGATATCCGTGCATGGAACAAAGCACTTGAAAGAGGAATAAAAAAGTTGACACACCCACACAAACATAAAGAAACAAAAACAAACACTCACACACACACACACACACACACACACACACACACACACACATTATTTAAATATATTTTGATTCGTTGCGTCAGAGAGAATGCAGTTACACATGTACATTGGTTATGACATCAGCCATAGCAAGTTCACACAAAGATCAATATTATGGCAAGAAAAATATGCTGTATTGTGTCAGATACAGAAATACGTGATTCACGACTGGCGGAACTAACGTCCCACATCAAACAACAAGGATCCCCATCAGAACAATAAAAAAAAATGCCATTGAAAAATCTAAAGGAATACCAAGACAAGAGTTGTTGAAAACCAAAATTCAGGACTACTTTGTTTGTGGCCACCTCTGACCCTAGATATTGCAATCTAATGCCAGCTGTGCGCTCTAATATTCTAGTAATAGAGCAAAGTGAAATTATGAAAGGTTTTAAAAAAATAAAAATTATCAAAAGCAAAAGACGGAATAAGAATCTTAAATGATTTTTTGTCCATAGACATATAATTATGTACAATTAGAAAAAAAAACTGAAAGCCAATGTGATATTCCGCTTTACAGAAAATGTCCCTTAATAATTGAAGACTAAGTTTTCATTCCAATTTGCCGCTGCAGAAATGCGATTTATGCTATAAAATGTGCCGGTTGCTGGGCAACTGGAATAGAATTAAAAAAACTGTGTTACTGTACATGAACAACAGATACGAGATCCGAATGTACGATGCTTAAAACTAAGTGGACACAATGATCGGTGTGGAAATGGGAAGTATAAGATTTTTCCATTTGACAAACAATTTACAGATGACGAATCAGTTCGAACCATGACGAATATATATATATATATATTTAGCACAGATGACCTTACCCTTGAAAATCTATTGTTCCATGTGTGTCTTATTGAACCTGGTTAAATGACAATGATGTATGTCAATTTTGAACAATCAATTACCATTTGTTGATTATCAATATGAAATATAACGTATACATTTAAAATCACTTTTAAGTATGTATATATATATATATATACTCTAATGGTGACCCTACAATATATTGTTGACCTTACCCTTAAAAATCTACTTTAGAATATATATATATATATATATATATATATATATATATATATATATATATATATATATATATTCAAAAGTAGATTTTCAAGGGTGAAAAATATATATATATATATATATTCAAAAGTAATTTTCAAGGGTAAGGTCAACTGTCCTCAATATCTTGTAAGGTCACCATTAGAGTCCAAAACTGACTGGCACCTTCGTCCCGTGAGAGCAATCAGATCCCGAATCTGTAGTTGTTGCTGACTTGTCTCTCTCGCAGTTGTGGCCATACACCACTGACGTCGAAGCCGACGATGCAGATCCGTCAAAATGACACCTCAAACTGGTTGTCTAGCGCAAATACCTTTAGCTCGTACACGGTTCCTCACTGTCTGGGCTGATATCCTGCGCAATCCTGGTATTGGCGTAGTTAAAGAGGAGGACGACGTAGTTCTCTCACGTCAGTGACGTAGCCGTATGAATCTGTCCTGTGCTTCAGCAGTGATACGTAGTCGACGTGATCTGGGAAGCTCACGTGTTGTGGCG